TCAAAAGATTATTTACTATTTATTTTGATTTTACTGTTTATTAGGGAGCATATGCTCCCTAGAGCCAAAAAACCACGTCTGTATGTTTTCTTATTATATTGTCATTTTAGAGAGAGTTCGAAAGCCATAAAGGAGGGACAGTTACAAGGAAAAAAATCATAGTGTCATTTTGTAGAGAACCCAAATAACATCATAAATCCCCAATATAATGTATGGGGCTAATGTCAAAAACCTTTGGCATTGGTCATTGCATTTCGAAATTATAGTGTCACCTTGTAAAATTACTCACTCGAGAATTGACCCAAAATTTCAAGATACGCGTGACATCCATAAGATAGGTATATTAAGTAATCTGACACAAAAGATAAAATTTAGAAAGTTACGTGGTGCCTGAATGGATGCTATAAAAATATGACACTTTTTGAGCCACATACCGAACAATTGTTCCACATTAATTTTCGTATATAATTAAGCATACAGAGGTTTATGTACATGCAAAAAGGAAAATCTAGAATTACAAAAGTTGTTATTAGCCAATTTTAGTTCTATGGACCACGATGAAATGTTTAGATCAAACAACTAGCCACAACGTCATAAATCTGAGCCCATCCTTTCCTGTAGAGAATCTACAAACTTGTTGTCGATCCTATGTTCGAGAAGGTAGAGATCTTGCTTGAGCAAGAATTGCCAAGAAGCTTCACTTTGGCTTCACTTAAAAAAATCATTTCTCTGGCCCCAAATGTTTGTGCAACCAAAGATAATTATGTCCATGGCAATATTCTTTGCCGATATCTTATGAGCTTGAATGATTTCATCAAACATGGAGATTCTCATGGGAAGGATACTTGCCCAATAGTCTTGAGAAAAGGGCTAGTCGTAGAATAAATGCATAGTTGTTTCTTCAGATTTCTCATTGTAAAACACACAGTCATAACAACCAAGATGCATGGATTTCTTCTTCAAGAGGGTTACGTCTGCTACCACATTTTTCTGAAGCCATTTAAGCAAGACATGAGCTTCTACATGTGCTTTTAAGCAAGTGTACATCTTAATGGATGAATATCATGATGGGGAACATAGTAATTTCAAAAAAAATTCCTATGCACACGCAAGATCATGGTGATGCATAGCAACAAGAGGAGGAGTGTATCTTCATACCCTTGAAGATCGCTAAGCAGAAGCGTTTATCAACGCGGTTGATGTAGTCGTACGTCTTCACGATCCGACCGATCCAAGTACCGAACGCACGGCACCTCCGAGTTCTGCACACGTTCAGCTCGATGACGTCCTTGCCTTCTCGATCCAGTAAGACGGGCGAAGTAGTAGATGAGTTCCGGCAGCACAACGGTGTGGTGACGGTGTTGGTGAAGAACAATCTACGTAGGGCTTCGCCTAAGCACCATGGAAACTATGACGGAGGATAAACTAGAGGGGACGGGGTTGCCGGCATACGGCTTGGTGTTTCTTGATGTGTCTTTGGTGCTAGCCTTGCCCCTTTATTTATATGTTGAGCCTTGGGGCCGAAACTTGGAGTAAAAGCCTCCACAAAGTCGGTTTCACCCGAAAGGCAAGAGTCCTTCTCGGACTCCAGGGCCACACACCAGGGTTCCCAGCGTCTGGACCCAGACGCCAGGGACCCTGGCGTCTGGCCCCTGGACTCCGCAAAACTTCCTTTTGCGCTTTTCAAAAACCTTGTGGGCTTTCCCCTTTGGCCCAAATAACGTGTTCTCGTACCCAAACATTTCGGGAAACATCCGGAACCCCTTCCGGTGAATTCCGGAACCCTTTCGGAGACCAAACAACATTATCCCATATATTAAACTTCATCTCCGGACCATTCCAGAGTTCCTCGTCATGTCTGTGATCTCATTCGGGACTCCGAACAACATTCGGTTACCAACATACATAACTCATATAATACTATATCGTCAATGAACGTTAAGCGTGCGGACCCTACGGTTCGAGAACTATGTAGACATGACCGAGACATCTCTCTGGTCAATAACCAATAGCGGAACCTGGATGCCCATATTGGCTCCTACATATTGTACGAAGATCTTTATCGGTCAAACCGCATAACAACATATGATGTTCCCTTTGTCATCGGTATGTTACTTGCCCGAGATTCGATCGTCGGTATCTCAATACCTAGTTCAATCTCGTTACCGGCAAGTCTCTTTACTCGTTACGTAATGCATCATCCCGTAATTAACTCATTAGCTATATTTCTTGCAAGGCTTATAGTGATGTGCATTACCGAGAGGGCCCAGAGATACCTCTCCGACAATCGGAGTGACAAATCCTAATCTCGAAATACGTCAACTCAACAAGTACCTTTGGAGACACCTGTAGAGCACCTTTATAATCACCCAGTTACGTTGTGACGTTTGGTAGCACACAAAGTGTTCCTCCGGTAAGTGGGAGTTACATAATCTCATAGTCATAGGAACATGTATAAGTCATGAAGAAAGCAATAGCAACATACTAAACGGTCAAGTGCTAAGCTAACAGAATGGGTCAAGTCAATCACATCATTCTCCTAATGATGTGATCCCGTTAATCAAATGACAACTCATGTCTATGGTTAGGAAACTTAACCATCTTCGATTCACGAGCTAGTCAAGTAGAGGCATACTAGTGACACTATGTTTGTCTATGTATTCACACATGTATTATGTTTTCGGGTAATACAATTCTAGCATGAATAATAAACATTTATCATGAAATAAGGAAATAAATAATAACTTTATTATTGCCTCTAGGGCATATTTCCTTCATATCAATTATTCTTTCCCTGATAGATCCATTTATCTTGTACTTGTGGCCGAAAGTGTTGTGTCTCAACTCTTGAAGTTCATTGCATTGTGTGAAAGCTTAAGCAGAAAGTGGTCTCTGAAAGTGCATAGTCAAATCTTACGAATTCACAAAGGAGGAAAAGGCTTGTCTGTCATTAATAGCAAAAGAGTGCAACTCCGATTTTTTTGGATCAGTCGTTGATGTAGCCAGGAGTCAAACCAGAGGGATCTTACGAATCCACCGACTTGATCCTTATAATCGATCTCTGGGAGGGATCATTTGAGTACTACCTTCTCAAATTAGATTGCACCAAGATGAAAACATGGCACTAAATTCGCCTGTTGGAGAATATTTATGAAAAAAAACCATTTCCGTAATATAAACATATCCTGTTTTGTATTTATCAAGCCAGGTTCCAGGATGCTCTTCCAAGACATAAATCGACGGAGTTCACTAAATTTAGGGAAGTGACAACCCTAAAAAATGGCATTTTGTTATGGTGCGTTACCATAAATTGTTTATCATTGTGTTAGTGTGACATAGTCTCCTTATAATTGAGTGCGTAGACAGGTGTGATGAAATATATTGTCCGCCTCTCCCTATCAGTCCGAACTTTTGGAGCAACTGGCTGGAGCATGAATTCAATTTGATATCCAATCCAAGAGGTCTTGAGTTCTAACGCAGTATTAAATAAAAAGATTTTGCGGTCTAAATCGATCCGACGTCTAAGAACTAAATAAGACTAGATGTGAGGAAGGGGGGTGGGGAGTGAAATATATTGCCCGCCTCTCACCATCAGTTCGAACTTTTGGCGCAACTGTCTGGAGCATGAGTTCAATAAAGGGGGTTCGTTGCACAAACCCTTCCAGTGAAGCTTTATCCAACAACTTATAAGTTTTTTTTGATAGGGTAAAGATTTCATTTGTCAGATAATAGCAATGTCATTTACAATCAAAGAAGAAATAAAATCAGGCGGGTCATCTTCCCAAACAGAAGAATTCTTTGGCGTATATGCTTTTTTTGCGAGGAAAGGAGTATTCTTCGGCATATATATGCTTGTTTAGCCAAAGCATGTGCTACAGTGTTTGCTTCTCGGTTGCATAAGAAAAATTTGACCTGTCTGAAGTCACAAGAGAGTCGAGCGCATTCAACAATCATTGCTGATTGGGAACACTATTCCAGAATTCACCTGATTAATCAGTTAACGGGCCAGTTAATCACTACTCATAGCATGGCCGAATCGAATAACACCTATTCATCGTGTTAACTTGCCAGGCCGATTAATTGGCTAGTTAGACCGATTAATCAGTTGTCAGGCCGATTAATCCCCGCTGGCCCATTAACAGGTGGGCAAACAGTGCCCACATTTTTGGCCCGTAACACCTTCCAGCCCCATCCTTCTTTTTAATAGCTAGGATTAATAATTTTAGCTCCTCTCTTTGGTTTTCATATGTGTACGATAGCATATTTTGGTATACTACATAGTTGGGAGCATGAGAGTATGGTATAATACATAAAAAATCTAGATATATGTTGAAAAGTTCCTATTCAATCTACCGATTAATGGACGAACAATTAATCCAGTTAATAGGACGATTCACCGATTAATCGCTACTCCTAAAGTGACCGAGCAGCTACCAGTTAATGATTTCTTGAACATTGCTTGGGAACCATTGAATCTGTAAGGATCTTTTACTGCATCAATCACAAGTTCACTATCTGACTGAGCTTCTATCCTCGAGCATCCCACATGAGCTTTATCCAACAACTTCTAAGGAGTGGATTGGGTATTGGATTGTAAAGGAAATAAGAAATCTACATTGCATACAAGGATCACGATGTAGGCTAAAGTTAATTACATGTACTGTACTAGATTAGCGCATGCGTAAGGCGCGGCAACAAATATACATACTAATTACTCCCTCCGTTCCTAAATATTTATCTTTTTAGAGATTTCAACAAGTGACTACATACGGCGCAAAATGAGTGAATCTACACTTTAAAATATGTCTACATACATCCGTATGTTGAGTCCATTTGAAATGCCTAGAAAGACAAGTATTTGGGAACGGAGGGAGTAGTTACTAGCTCAAATATATGCCCCCGATGTATGTACATACAAGAAAAGAAACACAAGCCCAGAACAGACACAAGTCGTCGTCGTATACATAACAGCAGAGTTAGATAATCATCAATCACACACACTAGACAGTCCCTTGGGCCTGGGCCGGGCCGTGCGGCAAGGGCGCGGCGGAGAAGCTCGGCGGGTCAAGCCAGCGCGCGAAGGCGTCGAGCGTGCGAGAGTCGGCGCGGTAGTGGCGCTGCGTGAAGCGCATGAGCTCCGCCCAGGTGAAGTCCGGGTAGAGCCGCGGCGCCGGCGCCGGCGACGGCGGCGGGCGCACCACCCGGTCCTCCCGCGGGGAGAGGAAGTAGGCCAGCGAACGGCGCTCCTTCTCCCGGTGCACCACCGCGCGGTGGAGGCAGCTCTTGTACCGCCCGTTGGACAGCGCCTGCAAGCCATACATACAACAACCAATGCAAGTGAATCCGTGCTCGTTTGCTAGGCTAGCAAAAGAAAACCTCGGAAGAAGCAGAGAGCTCGACACGCGGGCTACTCGCCGCCGGGATGCCAACTCGACACGTTTTAAAGAGAAAGAAGAGAGGACGAGGCGCACGGACCGGTGCTGGCATGACAAGACGTGCGGATGAGTCGGTCGAGTGCTGTGCGCTCCGCTGCCGCGCGCACAAGCATAGACAGATAGGGGGGAGAGCAGGCAGGAGCTACGGACGGGCACTCGTCACGGCACACAAACTCCTTTGGCGTCACCCACCGCTACGGGGGACAGGCCCCGCCGGCCACCACGGCCTGCCTGCCTGCCTGCCAAGATAGGCAAGCGTCCAAAACGGCCAAAAGAGAAAGAACCGCGTATCCTTTTCCAGTCACTCGCTCTTGGTGGTTCAAAAGCTTGCTTGGAAACGATAACTACTTGCTGATCAAGCAAGTTGCGAGGAAAATCCATGCGAGGAAGAGCCCCGGAGTGTTCCTAAAACTGGACATCAGTCGCGCCTTCGACTCCTTGTCCTGGCCATTTTTGTTCGAGGTGCTGCGCGCTAAAGGTTTTGGAAGAATCTGGTTGAAGTGGGTGGCTAGTTTGCTGCAAACAGCGAGCACCAAAATTATGGTGAATGGGGTCTCTGGCAGAAGAATTTGGCACGCCAAAGGTTTAAGACAAGGAGATCCAGTCTCTCCTTTGTTGTTTGTCATTGCCATGGATATCCTGTCCGCGATCGTCGCCAAAGCATCGCAAGAGGGAGTTCTCAGCGCTTACACGGGCATCTCTGCTATGCAGCGTTTGTCGGTTTATGCAGACGACGTTGCGCTATTCGTCAAACCCTCAGATGCAGATCTGCAATTTGTAAGGCATGCGTTGGAAATCTTTGGAGAAGCTTCGGGCCTTCGAGTGAACTACACTAAGTCTACCGCCATCCTCATCTCGGAGAACAATGATGATAGAGCGAGAGTTGAAGGTATCCTTCAGTGCACCATGTCCGAGTTCCCCTGCAAGTACCTTGGGGTACAACTTGCGCTCAAGCAGCTCACCAGGGCTCAATGGCAGCCACTTCTGGATCAGGTGAGGCACGTCGTCCCCGCCTGGCAGAGAGGCCTGATGCAGCGCTCGGGAAGATTGATCTTGGTCAAGTCTGTGCTCTCGGCGAGGCCGGTTCACCACTTACCGGTCATGGACGCCCCGGCCTGGGTGTTTGAGGATATAAATGGGTGGTTGCGCTCTTTCTTTTGGAAGGGCAAGGATCGGGTCTCCGGAGGGCATTGCTTAGTTGCATGGAATAACATTTGCAAGCCAACTGCCTTCGGAGGATTGGGCGTGAAGAATTTGAGCTTGCAGGCGATCGCGCTTAGAGTGCGCTGGGAGTGGCTTAGGCGGACTGACCCCCGCAGGCCTTGGCAAGGATTGCATCTGCTGGTGGACGACGAGGCCAGACAAGTGTTTGATAGTCTTGTAAAGATTGTAGTCGGGAAAGGTGACAGAGTATTGTTCTGGAGAGACAGATGGATTCAATGGCTTCTCGGTCGGAGACATCGCCCCTCTCGTCTTGGAGGGCGTGGATACGAGGACCAGGAACTCCAGGACAGTGGCTCAGGCGATGCTGGGGGAGAGATGGACCAGCGACACCCATTCCCAATTCTCCTTCACGGGGTTGCTTCAGATGGTGCACCTGAGGAACGCGATTGCCACGGTTCAAAGAGACTTACAAAGCGAGGACGAATTCAGATGGCCACACGATCCTTCAGGAGCTTATACCGCGAGATCCACGTATGCGCAACTCTGCCAGGGAGGAATCCGCTTCCCCATGGCACCGGCCATTTGGCGAAGTTGGGCCCCGCTTAAGTGCAAGATTTTTACCTGGCTCGCGGTGCAACACAGATTGTGGACCTCTGATAGGAGAGCTCGTCATGGTCTGCAAGATGAGCCTTCGGCTTGCTACATTTGCTTGCAAGAGGAAGATAACGTCGAGCACATGTTGGTGCAATGCCCATATGCGAGAGAAGTCTGGCACACATGTTTCGACACTTTGCAGGTTCAAGTCGGTATTCCGGACGGTCAGGAGACACTAGAGGAGTGGTGGCTCAAGACTAGGAGAGGATTCCATGGAAAAGTGAAGCGAGGCTTCGACTCGCTGGTCATTGGAGCGTTGTGGGCCATTTGGAAGCAAAGAAACGCGCACGTCTTCAACCGGCCGGAGCAGGTGGTGGGCCCGAGAGAGCTCGCAATGGCGATTCTCAGCGACATTCGGGATTGGTCGAGCGCTAGGTTTGGTGTGGGTGGCATAGATAGATTCGTGAGGAGTTAGCTTTTGGTTGTTTTTCGGTGTGGGTGTGCTGGCGACTAATGTTCGCATTGTTCGTCGGTCTCTTGTATATACTTTGCTTCCTTCTATATAAATATGGTACGTCATTGGCGTACTCTCGAAAAAAAAAAACCATGCACGCATCACTTACATATGCGTGTCCATGTGTAGGCAAGTCAAGACGTGCATGAATGCCTAATACTTCCCAGTAATAAAGCAGTGGCTTTGCTAAAACCTAGCCGTCTGAGATTTTCCAACTTCTTGTCGATTTCGAAAAGTGCCATTTCTGTTTACCCGAAAGTACAACTTGCCCTTCTCTATGAAAAGCGTAACCAAGTGAAAAAGTGCAACTTACACTTACTAAAATAAAAGGGAAGTTCTCCAACTGAGACTTAGACGGTACCTACATGTAATTGCTACGCGCGAAACATCTATGCTTCCATGTGAGCCTTCATGTAGGTGTTCTGTTTTTTTCTTGTGCTTGATTCTACCGCATCTTTTCCCAACTTCAAAATTCTAAAGTCGGTAATGATTTTTAATCTACTGTATTCTTTTATGAGAATGCCGCCACTCAGATTCGAACCAAGATGCTTTTGAGCACTGCTTCTTGGGAGCTGCATGTCTACCAATTTCACCATGACGACTAATTTCAAATAATGTGTAACTTATACCAGTGTCAAAAACTTTCTTATATTATGGGACGGAGGGAGTAGCTATAATCTCACGAATCATCGTTCTACGTTCTTGCATCCTTGTAATTCAATTTCTTTCTTTCTTTCTTTCTTTCTTTTGTCTTTCTACTGGTAGTTGAAATATACAATCCAACACAAGAACATAGTAGAGACACACGATGCAGTTAAGAGTTAACTAGTTAAGGCAAGCGATGCAGTTGAAAGGCCGTTTGCTTCAGTCTTTATATATAGATAAACATGCACTTGTGTTAGCAAAAACGTTTGGTTTCTTCCCATCGTTCTCCTCCGGCCGACCTGTCGTTCTCGTCCTCTCACAACAATTCATATTGCCGTGTGCTCAGGGTGTTGCTTTAGAGGCAATCGTGTCCTTACGTGTTGATCTGCTGTTGATCACTGTGGAGTGCGGAGAGAGCAACACTTTTACGCTCGTGCGACACTAGCAGGTGAAGCCGTCGAGCAACGGTTCTCTGGGATAACAAGGAATCTAGTCTAGAACAAATTTAAGCAAGCGACGGTGCGTACGTTCCTGTAGACATCATAGCAGCTATCCCATACCATGACCGGCAAACCGGGAAGAGTACGTACCATGAAGGTGTCGCCGATGTTTACCACGAGCTCGCCGGTCTTGGGCCGCACGAAGCGCCATGCGCCGTCGACGAGCACCTGGAGCCCGTCCACCTCGCCGTCCTGCAGCAGGATGGTGAGCGCCGACGGGTCGCAGTGCGGCCCTGTCCCCAGCGTCCGGTCCGGCTCCGGGCACCGCGGGTAGTAGTTGCACCTCATGATGGAGCTGCCGTCGGCGAAGAAGTCCCTGTAGTACCCTCTCCCTAGCCCCAGGCTCACCCCCAGCACCTCCATTATCGCCAGCGACGCGTCCTCCATCGCCTCACAGTACTCCTGGTACACCTCCCTGGGACCATGCGTACGTAATTTATTAGGTGTGTGCCAAAATCGGAAAGCAGAACAATTAAGTCGGTTTACTAACCCTAGGTGCTTGAAGTCGCCGCCTAGGGCGGAGGTGAAGTAGTCCACCACGACGTGGCTGTCGCCGCGGGCGCCGACGTCGTCGTGGTTGTGGCTGAAGGAGAGAGTCTCCTTCCAGGGAAGCTTGGCGGCGAAGCGGTCGGCGTGGGCGGAGGCGTACCCTTCCACGGTCCCCGGGGAGCGGCGGGCGCCCTGCTTAGTGGCGAGCGGCAGTCGGAAGAAGTCCGCCGCGCCGTCGAGCGCGGCGCGGGCCAGCGCAGGGTCCACGCCGTGTCCTGTCACCTGGAAGAAGCCGTGGCTCGCGCACGCCTCGGCGACCTGCGCCGCGGCACGGCCCATCCCGGCGGCGCTGTGCAGAGCTGCGCCTATGTCGACCACAGGCACGTCCAGCTCCAACATCGACGACGGCCGTGCGTCGGCGTTGGGCCAGACGAAGGGAGCCGGGATTTGTTTCTGCTGCCGCCAGAGGTCGAGGACGTCGGTGGCATTCTTGCTGTCTGTCGCGTTCGCGTCCCCGGGAACGTATGGGAGGTGAGGACTCCGAGCAACTTCCATGGCCGGAATCGGCATTGCTGCATTGGCTTCTAAAAAGTTCGACAGGTCCACCATGGCAAACACACTATGTGCTACTGGTGGGCGGGTTTGAAGGAAGCTTGAGGGCTATTTGTAACGAGAAGAGCCGAGCCCGTTTGATGCACGACAAAGTGGCAAGTCAAATTTAGCACAAGTGATATGTACAAACTCCACAAGAACCGCCCAATAATTCAGATCTTGGAATAGATCCTACGTACATATTTTAGGTACAAGTTTTGCTAAAGCATCTACATGTGCTCTAAGTATTGCACATCGAGATTTTACGCTAAGATTCATGCAAGCATTTTCTTTTGTTTTTTCTATTTTCTTTCTAGTTTGATTGAGTCACTTAGATGTGTCTTAGACAGACCCTTTTAGGTATGCCAAAATCATCCACATGTCATAATCTCATGCCCACGAACCAAGGTTAACTCAGATGGTGAGATTGTTAGGTTCCTTGGTGGATCCAACCAACCAGGATTCAAATCCTAGACTTGGCACTAATGATCATATTTTTCTGAATTTATTTTAGGTCTCTCGGTCTCGGTCATGTGTGTTTAGTGAGAGGAGACGTACCTGTCAACTACGAAAACGTCTATGGCAACTTCATCAATCTAAAAACGATTTGTCGGTTCGGTCTATCGAAGATGCCCATAGAGATAGAATGTGTATGTGTGTATGTATAAGCGTATGCGTCTGTATTATGTTCATAACAAAATCCCATGCGTAATTCCAGTTTTATTGGATCGTTGCTCAGGCGATAGGCGATCTGACTTGCGATGTGAAATAATCGTGTGTGCGTATGACCTGTAAAACAACTATCCTGTATTTCAAATCAGAAGTCATCATAAGACCTCTGATTTTAGGGAGAAACCCAAATTAATCCCAGATCCCTTCTCATATGCACATGCATGCATTCACTAGATGACAAAAGTTGATGTCAACAAACATTTCACAAAATCAAATGTTTTATAGCTCAAGCCATTGGTTCGATTCGTACTCATTTTCACCATTAAATCTGTCACGGCGAGATCTTTGAAACTAGATTCGATATTAATTGTTTTGGCCTTTTTTTGAAGTTATAAGGCTGCAGAGCATATGTCACCAACTTGTCCACACAAAAGTTATTGAGCATTAAAACTGGACTTTTTTCCCACGCATTTTTCATAATTTTTGAGGTCGAAAGTTATCGCCTGGTACTATTAAGAGTTACCGATACAGTTCACATATTGTAATCAACAAACATTACATTGGTTGTTAGACTACTCATGGATAATCATCGATTCTAAATTTGGACATCGCCGCAACCACCAATATAACCACATCACTATTATGTTGGTCACTGTGACATAACACAGTCGACAAATGTAGCAAGAGCAACTGGTAACTATAGCTGTCTCATGTTGTTAAACATCACATGACAGCTGAGTAACTACATAGTTGACATGTTGATAACTGGCATGGGCAACTGGTAATTATATTGGATTGTTATACCTTGGTTTCACGGCCATCACGGATGAAGAAGTCTCATTTTGGATTTCTTGGTATGTATGAGGTCCTCTGAGCAAAAGGTCATTTGGAGACACAAAGGAGCACGAGTGGGCTCGCCAATTTTTTGAAGGGGAGAGGGGGGTTCGATGGTGTATGATTTTTCACGGGATTTGGTAGATGCGTTGCTGCATCGCGATGATTAGCCAGACACGGGGTACATAGGCAATGGTAGGTACCTCAAGACTGAGATGACGAGAGCGACAAGGAGCTCGGCCACGGCGGCAGTGAGGAAGGCTAATTATGCGTCCTCGGCTGACTCAGGCTCGTGTGTGGAGCTGCTACATATCTCTACGCTTCGGTGACTCTATTCTCGGCCACGTAGGGTACCCGTCAGCTAGAGAGAGGAGGAAAAAGTGAAGGAATAAGAGAAGGGAAAGGGAAAATATAGTGAGGGGGAGAAGATATAAGAGAGAGGAGGAAGATTAAACAGAAAGAGAGAGGAGGAGGAGAAGAAGGGAGAGAAGAAAGAAGTTAAGAAATAAGACAAGAGAGAGAAACAAGTGAAGGGGAGGAAGAAGAGAAGGTAGAGGTTGATGAAGCTAGATGTACATAGAAGTTGGGGTCAATTATTAAGCTATATATTAAGGCATGAAACTGCACCGCCACGCTACTAGTGGGACGCTTGCTAGTGGTGTGCCTTGCATTGGCATACCCATCATGGCATGAATCCTTGTTAATCACGGTCATGCTCATCGTGGTATGATTCCCTGCTAATCACGTTCGTTTTTATTGCAGCGTAGTTACTTTTCTCTTAAAAATTGCTAAGCACGTCCGTACCAATCATGGCACGAATATCATATATATACATATATATATATATATATATATATATATCATAATAGAGTGGGTCTATTATAATAATACCCTTAAGACCCTTATTCTGCTAACACCGAAGCTTATTCTGCTAATACCCCCGACCCGCCTGTAGCTGCAAACTAACCACGACAGAACTGCGGAGGCAAAAAGAAAACTCACCCACATTATCCTCTCCCCCACCTCTCTCTCTCTCTCCACGTGCTCCACCCCCACACGACCACCTCCACCTTTGCACGAGCACCTCCCCCGTGCCGTCGGACCACCGCCCTGCCCGCGCCGATGCACCACCTCCCTCCCAGCACCGCCTAGCAGCAACCTTCGCCCACACCGCCGCCCTCCCCGGCCTCCCTCACCGTCAGATCGGGCTGTCCCCGGCCTCCATCTACTCCCCACCCCATGCCATGGCTCAACTCCCGACCACCGACGACCTCCCGATGGCCGCCACGGCCGCATCCATCCTTCCCACCCCCAGATCTGGCGCGGCCTTGCCTCACCGACCTCCGTTAGTCCCACGCCAGCGCCCTCAGATCCACACCTTCCTGCCCCTTGCTCCACTGGATCCACCCGCCCCGCCACCTTCCACCATGGCAACGCCGCCGGGACCAGGGTCTTCCTCTCCCTGTAAGACAATAGGCTTTGGGGGAAACCGGCACAACCCTCTAGGGGTGGCCTATCATATATATATATAATGAGGTGGTATACAACGTTACAATATACACATGTAAATACAGTCTAACACCCTCCCTCAATCTTAGCCACTTTCTAATGAATCTAGAAGGGTAAGATTGCGCCTGCAAGTCTCAAACTGTGGCAAAGGCAATGGCTTGGTGAAGATGTCAGCAAGTTGATCCTTGGAAGAAATAAACTTGATCTGTAGTTGCTTCTGAGAGACACGTTCACGCACAAAGTGATAGTCAACTTCAATGTGTTTCGTTCGGGCATGGAATACCGGATTTGCAGAAAGGTATGTAGCACCGATGTTATCACACCAAAGAACAGGAGGCTGTGATTGGGGTATACTTAACTCCTGAAGCAAGGACTGTACCCAGATGATCTCTGATGTGGCATTGGCCACAGCCTTATACTCAGCCTCAGTACTGCTACGCGAGACAGTAGCCTGTTTCCGAGCACTCCAGGCAATCAGGTTAGAGCCAAAGAAGACAACATAACCCCCCGTGGATCGCCTGTCATCCGGATTGCCAGCCCAGTCTGCATCAGAATATGCTGAAAGACAACCAGAGTCAGACGGCCGAATACGCAAACCATGAGCCACCGTGAAACGAATATAGCGCAAAATCCGCTTGACAGCAGACCAATGAGTGTCACGGGGTGACTGCAGATACTGGCAGACTCGGTTAACAGCATAGGAAATGTCTGGTCGCGTGATCGTCAAGTACTGGAGCCCACCAACAATACTCCTGTACTCTATCGCATCAGAAGTAGAAAGAAGCACACCATCAACAGCATTGAGCTTATCAGTGGTAGACATGGGTGTAGTCGTCGGTTTGCACTTAAGCATCCCAGCTCGCTGCAACAAATCCAGAGAGTACTTCTTCTGCGTCATAACAAGGCCAGCAGCACGAGAAGTAACCTCCACACCAAGAAAGTAATGAAGCTTCCCAAGGTCCTTGACCGCAAAATCAGCACCAAGTGAGCGAACAAGCGCAGTAGCAGCCGACTGAGAGGAGCTGACCAAAATGATATCATCTACATAGACCAACAAGTACATAGTAACCTCAGGCCTTTGAAGAAGAAACAATGAGGAGTCAGCAGTTGATGATGCAAAACCATGAGCACGAAGAGCCATTGCAAGACGAGCATGCCAAGCACGAGGAGCCTGCTTCAGACCATAAATTGCCTTGGACAGACGACAGAGATGATTAGGGCGATCCGGATCAGAGAAACCCGGAGGCTGGCGCATGTAAACCTCCTCCGCCAAGACACCATGAAGAAAAGCATTTTGAACATCAAGCTGACGAAGAAACCAACCTCGAGTAACAGCCAGAGAGAGAAGAAGTCTGATGGTAGTAGGCTTGACCACTGGACTGAAGGTGTCTTCATAGTCAAGTCCAAAACGCTGTCGAAAACCACGAGCAACCAGACGAGCCTTATAGCGCTCAATGGACCCATCAGAATGCCTCTTCACTTTGAAAACCCATTTGGAATCAATGACATTTACCCGTGATTGTGGAGGAACAAGAGTCCATGTCTGATTGCGAAGAAGCGCTTGATACTCCTGCTCCATGGCCTCTCTCCAATGAGGAATGCGCATAGCAGCTTGATACGTGCGTGGCTCAGAGGATGGATCTGCGAGAGCAGCAGACATGCACGCCGCTAACCAAGCAACTATGCCATCGTGGCGTTGCTTAGGCTGAAAAATGCCACTCCGACTGCGCATATGTGGACGTAGAGCAGCAGCAGGAGCCGGCGGAGGCGAAGGTGACGGAGACGTGACGGTCGCCGGAGATGCAGGAATCACCTCAGGCGAGCTCGGGACAGACGACTCCGGGCTGCATGGCGAAGACTGGCCCGACGACAGGGGCTCAGAGGCCATGGGCGAACGGAGAGTGGGTGAGGCCAGCTCCGGTGACACCGGCCCAGACGGCCTTGGCGAGGCGAGAGCAGGCGAGGCCAGCCCTGGTGAGAAGGGCCCAGACACCCTGGGCGAG